GCCCCACTTCAAAGCCAGGACGTCAGATCGTGGGCGCGGGAAAGGCGAACGAAGGACGGAGGAAATATGGAGGAACGAGCGAGGGAGAGAAACGGGGAGAACGGGAAGAGAGAAGGGGGGGATAGAGAGACGGGGGATGAAAGAGGGGAGGGAGGGAGGGAGGGGGACGAGAGAGAAGAGAGAGGCCGGAGGAAAGAGAGAAGGAGGAAGAGGAGGGGAGAGAGGAGGGAGGGAGAGAGAGAGAGAGAGAGAGAGAGAAGACGAAGGAGTGAGAGAGAGAGAGAGAGGAGAGAGAGGAGAGAGAGAGAGAGAGAGAGGAGAGAGAGAGAGAGAGAGACTGGAGAGAGAGAGAGACAGCAGGAAGAGGAGAGAGAGGAGGACGAAGAGACGAGGAATGAGACGAAGTAGAGATGACGAGAGGGAGAGAAGAAGACCGGTGAAGAGAAGAAGAGGGCGGAGGGAAGAAAGGAGGAGAAAGGCAGACAAAGACAGAGACAGGCCAGGAAGCACATAAATTATGATAAGGAATAAAATAGAACAGCAAACAGAGAAAAGAGAACCCAATACAGAAAACAAAATAGAGAAAGAAGAGAGAGAGAGAAACAAAAATGTACACTCTACAAAGAACACACAACACACACAGACCAGAGAGACAACAAACAAAAGAAACAAAGCCAGACAAAATAAACAGGCAATCATCAAGAAAACCGAAAAGGACCCTCCCCCTCCACCCCTACCTCTACCCCCCTCCCCCCTACCCCCTCCCTCCCCCAAGACCCTCCCCCTCCCTCCAAGCCTCCCCCTCCCCTCACCTATTCCCCTCTCCACTCCTTCCCCTCCCTCCCTCCAAGACCCTCCCCTCCATCGAATTCCCCTCCATATCCCCTCCCTTTCCCCTCCCTCCCCCCTCCCCGCAAAAAAGCGAAGAAAAGAGGATGCGCCCAAAAGCGAGGGAAAGGGAGCCTGGTTAGGGTGATTTCGAATTCGACATGGAATGGTGATCTGATCCTGCCTCCTCCTTGTGTGAGATCTGCCTTCCGGCCGCGGCTCCCAGGAACAGAGCGTCTGCCGGGGAGTTTTTGAGGAGTTGGTTAATAATATTCCTTTTGGCGGGACCGGGAAGACGCAATGAAATAAGATGGCGTGTTGTTCTTGAGATGCTGTCTTTGTTCTTGTCTTGATTTTCTTTGATTCTTAGGTTGTTTCTCGGAATAGATAGGCTGTTCTTGAGAGCTGTTCTTTGTCCTTGTTCTTATTTTCTTATTCTTATGGTTGTTCTCGTGTAAATAGATAGCTGTTCTTGAGAGCTGCATTTGTCCGTTTTCTTAATTTTTTCTTATTCTTAGGTTGTTTCTCGGAATTAGATAGCTGTTCTTCGAGAGCTTGTCTTTGTTCTTGTCTTAATTTTCTTATCCTTAGGTTGTTCTCAGAATAGATAGCTGTTCTTGAAAGCTGTCTTTGCCCATGTCTTAATTTTCTTATTCTTAGGTTGTTCTCGGAAATAGATAGCTGTTCTTTGAGAGCTTGTCTTGTTCTTGTCTTAATTTTCTTTATTCTTAGGTTGTTCTCTGGCAATGCCAAGGTAATAATGAAATAATAATGATAATGAGACATGATGATGATCATGGTGATGATCATGATGATAAAGATAGTGATTGTATTGTGGGACTGTAGTAGTTGTAGGTTCTTAATAAACAGCTGCCAAGTGGAATCTTGGTTTATTCTAGAAGGTCGACAACAGCGACGACTTCGCTGTTTACAAGATGACTCCTGTCTTAGTAGGATGAACATTGTGGCCATATATAGTGCGATTAATATATGCAAATAACACTGGATTGATCATAGACGACATCGAATAATTATGACCAATATGGATGAATATATGTATGAGATCATCTCCCCTTCGGAAGTTGAACTTCTTCGGCTTTGTTCTTCCACCATTGGCCCTGCGTCTCACGTTGCTCGTTCTGCACCTTTGCTTGAAAAGTTTTAAATCTTTCTCTTTTATAGATAAATGAAAGGTCATTCTGCTACTCTGTTTACGCGTTGTTCTTAGCTTTCATGGATGCTTGGATTTACCCATTGTTTTCATCAATCTAGTCTAGATTAGGTCTTTCTTTGGGTCCTGGTATCTCCTTGGCAGTCTCAGATACAATGGCTTTGAAGGAAGACCCAATTCTCAATGCTGTCTCCAGCAGAGGCAAGACCTTCCTGCAGATTCTCACATCAAGAGCCTATTGGAAATGAGCAATGAGGCTCACATTCTCCAGCTTGGTCGTGGTGATGGATTTGATGCTTAATGTCTCGTTGGCTTACAATGATCAAGTCTATCATGTGACAGTGTTTAGACCTCGGGTGCGTCCATGTAGTTTTGTACTTATCTGCCATTCTGAACGGGGTGTTGGTGATACAGAGTTCATGTTCTGCACATTACCTGAGGAGGAGCAGGCCGTTGTTGCTGACATTGCATATGCCATGTAGTTTCTGTACTTATCTGCCA